GCATCTTTTGCTCTACACGAATTTTGGAGCGACACCATGTCTATATATGCTCAACTGTGATGTAGTTTGACCTAAGGGGCATACTACGATCAACTAATATTTGCGTTGGTCATAACAGCACAACCGATTCTGAACGCAGGTACATGGATATGTTTCATTCACGTCTCTGCTCTCCAACTGAATTCAGAGCGTGGAACTAACGATAACTGCACAATTCGGCATCTTATTTTTTTTTCGTTAACGAGCTTTATTTTCCGCTCGTACACAAACTTCAGGTCACATTCCGAATACGGCCGAATAACAAAGGTGACCACTGAGTATGAAAATGTTCCATTTCTGTAAGTCGCCTATATCTACAAGGTACACATGGCTACAGAGTGCGACTTTATTTTTTTATGGTAGTGTTATGAAAAAAAAAACAGTATTAGCTACCTCGAGCTGTGGGAGAGTGCTATATCATTACTCTTTGTTGCGTGTATGTATGTGATGAAGCACATTTCTGGTAGTGCAAGCGTTGTATTTATATAAAATGGGCTTCTAAAGGTAAGAAAAACAGGAAAGGCAAAAAAATTTGGCAGATCACACGTACCTTGGGAATCGATGTTATGCGAGGTATGCGGATAGATAGAGCCAACCTTTATGCGGTGCTCACGATATGTAGAGTTGCATGCACAGACCTTAAACACGTGCTAATGTTTTATGCAACCAGTTCTTTACGGTTGCGTAACGATTACAACAGCAACATAAATATTAGCAACACCAGAAGGGGTAAGCCGATATGAAGGGCTGGTGCTCGTGAGGATGATAGCCCTGGAAACTGCCACATAGATCACCTGCAACGCGTGGCACCCAACTACACTTAACGTTAACCCCGAGGTGACGACTGCATCAACGGAGTAGATACGTATGGTTTATAAAATTGGGCAGCCAACACTGCAACCCCAACTGACCTTCCGCATCATTATGTTCTATTTAAAAAGTAATTTCGGGACTTGGTGCGGCTTGTGGTGGTAAACTTAATTTCCATGCAGAATGCTGTGTTCGAATCCAGCCTGGACCTTCACATGTATTCTTTGCTTTCGTCGGCTGAATGCTGCCGGTGTTAGCATTTTTTAAAACTCACGGAATAAAATTACCCGTGTCTCTAAGTGCCATTCATAGGTTAATAGAAACTGTCAATCACCTGTGGCCCATTTCCGAATACCGGCGGTACAAACCGGCCCACGGGTATGGGCCACACGTCTGGCGGAAATGACTTCACGGAATACGTGAAGGTATTGAGCGAATATTCTTGGCATGACCACGCTAGGCATATTTGTCAAATTATTTCAACCCCCACCCACCCTGCACATTTTTGTTCCTCCTATGTTAAGGGGAGGATCACGAGAGCAACCAGGTGTAAGTAAATAGATAGATAGATAGATAGATAGATAGATAGATAGATAGATAGATAGATAGATAGATAGATAGATAGATAGATAGATAGATAGACAGACAGATAGACAGATAGACAGATAGATAGATAGATAGATAGATGGATAGATAGATAGATAGATAGATAGATAGATAGATAGATAGATAGATAGATAGATAGATAGATAGATAGATAGATTCTCAAAAAGCATCTATCTATCTAAAGTATTACGTCTATCTAACGCATTACATCTATGATCTATCTGAAGAATTACACCGAGAAATGCCTCGTATTTAAAGTTGACGTGTCTGCGTAGTCGTTGGGACAAGAAATACTTATCTGGCCTAAACAGGCAGTTGGTGGTGCTGTCTCGCGAGTCACCATGTATGCGCAATACGAAACCACCGTTTTATTGGTTACATTGGCGGACTGGTTGAAAAAAAATGGTGATTTTCTGCCGAGAAGCGGTTTCTTCCTAGGGAGCACGCTGAAAGGCCGAACATCACGCAGGTGCGCTTAGAAAAGCGTACTACGTCATCACTCTTTTTTTAATCTACTTGACAATATACAGGCGTAGGGGGTAGACAGACGTCATTCTTTTAATACCTTTTCAATTATATTGCCAAGAAACGGAACTTTGATTTCGATAACCTGCGAGAATTCGGTTTCGCTCTATTTTACGATTGAAGAATTAACTTTGTAAACAGTAAGTTTAAAAAGTACTTAATTGTTGATAAACGTCTTTCTTCACAACAGTAAACAACAGTAGCTGAATATTTATCTTAGGAAGATGGCTCCCTTTAGCCGATTTCATCATAGCCAGGGTGTGGTTAATGTTGACGACAAAAAAAGTGTTACAGCAAGTATCGAAATGGCGAAGCTTTTTTGAAAGAAAGCTCGAGGTGATCTACATACAATTCACAAATATTTCTTTCCTTTCCTTCAATTACGCGAACATGGGTCTTTTTCATTTTATTTCTTAAAAGGCCATTCTTCGCAGACTATTCACTTGCATAGGTTTGCAGCCTGCGGTTCGTTCAGAACGTCATAATTCTACTTGGCGTAACAATCTTTCACGAATTTAGCGAAATAATTTGTAATATATTGTTCCAAAGGTGAGACGTATGTCCTTGACAGAAAGTGTCTGCTTGCTGATGTGTCCTACATGAGTCAGTTTTTTCCTCTAAAGCTTAGTTATTTCTTCCAAAAGCTAGCCCACTCTTTCTTTTTTCTATCATCGTGACAAAAAGAAACCCTTTGGGCTGTTAGTTTTTTGGAGCTCCGTGAAAGTCGTCACGTTCAAGTTGCCGACAGAAAGAAAAGCATGGAAGAGTGTGTGCCCAAAGACGGAGCCCATTTGGAAGGGCCTGTGAAGGACGGGGCCTCTTTTATCGAGGCTGAAACGCCAAGCACAACGCGCACCCGTTAGCGATGCAGTTCATGTGAGACCGAACGGCGGCAGACGCTACAATAAAACGAGATAACGTGGCAGACGTGTGTTACACTACGTGTAAGTGCGCTGCCTTGTCGCCTAAGGGTAGTTGCCCTCATTTGCGCTTGATTCGGTGTGCTTCGTTGTGGCTGTATACCCTGCTGCGACGATCATTCGTTCGCGCCCTTTCGGATGCTCCGTGCAGCTGATTTCATTACGAGAAGTCAGCAGCAGACACGCCTTTTGCTTGAAGGACTCTGTCAGATCGTCTTCACATACAAATAATAATGTCAATATTAGTGTGAGGATGGCTCTTGGCATTTTCCAAGAAAAAAACGGCGGTGACAATACATATTTTGTTTTTGTGCAGGAACTTAGCTGGTGCTTCAGGTGAGAAGACGTAACGACGCCGATGTTGCTGGAAAAACAAAACAAATACAAAATGAGACCGAACGTGCCCCGTCTTTTCTTATTTTTACTCAACACGGTTTGGAATTGCACACATGTGTATTACACACATGTGATTAGGAGCTGTCTTGCGCGTCAACGTTTTTTTTTATTTTGTTCAGGGCATAATGAAAAAAATTCTTTATTCCTAAATTAATTATACTCTTTTTCTTTCTGCCTCCTGCGCTTCATGCCGTAGGATTGATGCCGAACAAAACTAATTTACTCTTACTGCTGTCGTCCTGACGAGGCCTCCCTCAACGAAGTGCTAATCCCGTAACGATCGGCAGCAGCCGCTCGCCAACGCTCACTTTCCAGGCTCCCTGAATCCGCTGTATGACCTCAACCCTGGTCGAAGGCTTCGTCAGACGTACTCCGAAAGTGGTCCAACTTCTTCCAACAGTGCTCTCAAGCCAGCTACTTTTCACGCCGGTCTTGCTGGCGCACCAATGCCTTCAAAGACGGCCTGGGCGCAGTGATGATGTAGCATATCACCTTTTATGTTCTTTATTTATACTTACATTGTACACGCGGGGGATAAGATGAATATAATACAATGTAGCAGCTCACCTTCATCAAAGCTTCGGTGCCTTGCTCACTCGGCGCTCTGTCGATCCTGTAGACTAAGCCACTTGGGTTTTGCGATGACTATGTTGTGTTTGTTTTCAACATCCCCTCGGTGATACAAGTGCACGCTGGCAACGCGAAGGACGAGGCAGACTCTGGTTGAAGGCAGCGTTTATTGTCAGACCGTCCGATTGGCCTGCGCCCAAAGAACACTCCTCTCCGGCTTCCACCCTCGCGTTTTTTTATTGAAATAAAAATAAACGAAGGAGTTTTTGTCACCGTTACTTGGCGACGGCTGCCCCTTTCCACTTAATTTGTAGAAATAAAAATATTAAAAAATAGCATATATACATATATAGAGTCCTACATGGGTGGGAGCAAAAGTTCTCCTATATAGGCAGAACAAACACGTAGACCACACGCTCACTTCTAACTGTTGTCCGCTCGGTATTCGTTACAAATCTTCGTTTCTTCGAAGAACTGTTGCAGCACCTTCATTTCTTTGCCGTTTGTTTTGGATGGCCATGGACCTAGTATTTTATTCAACCCGAATGGTCGCTCAGGATCTAACCTATGCAGTTCTTGTTCTAGTCCCCTTCGGTGGTTGCCGTGTTTCGGACAGTAGAGCAAAAGGTGACAGATATCCTCGTCATCGTGGCCGCATGAACATGCTGACGATGTTGCACGTTCCTCCGCAATTAAAAATATTCATGAAAACAGTGTATACACTCCCCCTCTTCTTGCTCTCCGCAAAGAGGAAAGAAATTAATGGGACGCTCTCCTTCAGCTGCATCAGCCGCATTGATTACTATAGACGACGCACGTAACCCGATATTTGGCTTCTGCTGTTTGGTTGCCTTGGCCACATGGCCCCGACCGCGGCACTTGCCTGATCGTTTCGAAATGCGCTGCTGTGGTTAGCTTGCCCGACACAAACTATTGAAGCCACAATTCCGGAAAATCTTTCACCGCTTTGCCTTTCAATACGACCCTCTGCGGCGTGGGCTCTACTAATCCGCATCCTCTGCGGCCTAACAACTCGAAAACACTGCGAGCTGCTGCCCTCTGAAACATTCTCAGAAGCTCACGTACACTGAGACTGACTGGCTACATACAAATAATAACAATCAACTTCGATGGTTTCTGCGGAAGGATTATTTTATTATTCATCATTCCACAATTTAAATTTTTGCAGGGATACCTTGTTGAACGAAAGGTCTCACGGTAGACAGTCGTCTTTTGGGACGCACTTGTTGTCTCGTTTTCGGCGGTACAAATCGCCTTGACACCAACATCCAATGCTACAGTCTTTGGTACAGGATAAATGCCTTTTTTCGACGCCGCATTCGTTTTCACCACATGCTGGAGATCCGCTGACGCAGCCGAACGTCTCCCAAGGTTTGCAGCTTTTTTTGATCGCTTCTTCGTCTGCAAGTAAACGGGTGTTGGCGTTATCGTATGATATCCATTAAACTCTGGCAGCGCTGCTGCAGCTCATCGCATGGGTCACGTTTATTCTAATTAGTAGCGCTGGTCCTGGTAATGTTTCTGCTGCTTAGAGCGGTGCAGCTGTGTAAAGGGCCACCCCATCAAACAAGCTCGCCAATGCGTAGATCGTCCACGGCGATGGCATTTAGCTTTTCCGAATATCACTGCCCTGCGCCGTAGTATTCGAAAAACCCCTCATATCGAAAAACTATTTCCTTGACTCTTTGCTTCGCCTGACCAGAGCCCCTCCGTTCCTTCAATTCCAGCTAGATTCGCAAGATTCAGTCGTCCACCATGCTTTCTCCTCCCGCCCTTTCCTGTTCTCGCCCATCACCTTCACACTTGTTTCGCGGTCATGAGGCAGGAAACCCTTTATGTGGTGCATGATGTTTGAAATCATTCGAAGTAAGTTTCTGTTCAGTTGTGTGTAGGTCTGTGGAGTGGCGTGTTGCGTTCCTTTTGTTCACAACTCGTGTTGTTGCTTACGCCGGCTCTGTAAAGCTACGGTGTTTTGAAATAGCATGTCCCCATTCGTCGCGCTATGCGAGCAAGCAATGGGGAAGCGTCACTGCGACGCTGTTGCATGCGCCGAAATCAGGAAAGAACTTTGTGAAATGCCCGTGGTGTTGCTTTGAGCAAACAGAAGGAGCACGAAGGAACAAAACAGACAGACGTAAGGTATTAGAGGGGGAAGTAAGACTATCACATCTCCGTTGGAAGGGCTCAGAGGCACGTGTGACGGAAGCAGCCCTATACCTATCATGTATAGCGTGGAATCACGATAATTCCTGTACTAATGCGACCGACGTCACCACTTGAGGAGCGTTTGTTTGCGCTCTAATGAGAAAATAAAGTAAGGGCAGTCTGACCAATTACTTTCATGCGTCGTCACGCAAACAGTTCCATGTACGATTGAGCTCTACGATTGGTGCTTCGTCCTAGCAAACGGCACCTTGGCCCTGCGATCATACTGTACTGGCCACGTTGTAACATTTTCATTTTACAGTGCTTCCACCTGCCGTTCTGTTGAGTTCCAATCTGCCGGAACAATGAGTAGTGCGTGAACAAGAGCCTCAGAGGTATAGTGACCGCTCACTACTTATGTCACTAAAGACCTAAATGCTTCTCACTGTATAAGTAAAGTTTCACAATTCCAAAAACGCCACTCTTATCAAGACACGACGTTTGATAAGCGAGAAAAGCGCGCTAAAAAGAGGGTGGGCAAACACCCCTTATTGAAATTCCTGTACCATACACAGCAACGACATTTAATTTGAAGGCATCTGCTGGGTCCTACGTACCATATAGTCGACAAAGTTGAAGTATATTGTCATCGGTGAGTGGCATAGACTTAACATATGAAGTTTCAGAAAACAGCATTGAGCCAATGTCTCGAAAGTACGAAAAGTATATTATGGAATTTCTTACGTCACGTGCGGAGTTTATGGCGTGAAATTGAAAATTAAATCTCAGCTTGATCTTCTCCGCTAAAACGCTTCCGTTGTGACTGTTGTCAAAAAGGATCTACGTCACCATAAAGCATATATTGTAATGAGAGCAGTGGGCATGGCGCTTGAGTATAAAAAAGGAAGAAGACTTGCTGTGATCGCAGGCTTGTGTTCAAATAGCCCTTGCGCTAAATAAAGCTTTCGTTCGCCGAGTCAACTCCTGCTTGTTCAACAACCCGTTTGAAGTGGTGGAGGTGCTGGGTACATCTGGTCGTTATCCTGGGACTTCACAGCCGCACACTCCAACGACCTCCTACAATGACTAATCCGGGGCCATCTCAGGCCGCTACTCCAGCTTTGGCACCTGTGCCTGTCTTCTGCACTGGTGCTCTCCGGCAGTGCGACCCCCCCCCATATTTGGTGGCACAGAGGACCAAGATGTGGACAACTGGATTGCCGAGTATGAACTGGTGAGCGCATACAATAAGTGGAACGCAGCCGATAAGCTCACAAATGTGAGTTTTTACCTGACCGACGTGGCAAAACTATGGTACAAAAATCATCAAAGTGATTTCAGTACCTGGTCGGAATTGGCAAAAACCCTCTCGGAAGTCTTTGACCGTCCTGCTGTCCGCCGCCTTCGTGTTGAACAGCGCTTGCGGGGCAGAGTACAGAGAGCAGATGAAATTTTCACTAGCTACATCAAAGATGTGCTCTTTCTCTGCAAGCTCGTCGATTCGACTCTGGACGAGGCAGGCAAGGTCAAGAACATCATGAAAGGAATCGACGACGGTGCATTCCAAATGCTGGCTGCGAAGAGTCCCCAAATGGTCACCGAGGAGATTCAGCTCTGCCAAAGCTATGATGAGCTGCGTAGGCAGCGCGCTTTTACACGTTGTGCAGCTCAAGACACGGCGGACATCTCATCCCTCGACTATCGCCATGACACTGACCACCACTCTGCGTTGATGCCACTCATAAAGCAATTCATACGCGAGGAGGTCGCCCGGCAGCTATCTATAATCACAAGAACTACCGAGCCGATGGCACCCTTGTCGCCTTCGCTTCGCCAGGTTATTCAATCGCAAGTGTCTGAAGCATTGCCGCCAGCTCAGGCTCCACCAACTGTTACCGCACCACTAACGTATGCAGCCGCAGTTGCTCGGCCACATGCGCCAGCGTCTCCGGCCACCTACGAAGCTACTCGCCACGTTTATTCGTCGAAGCCACCTTCCCGCTCGCTGACCGTCCCGTCTCCGGCTGTATACGAAACAGCCCAGAACGTTTATATGACGCCGTCGCCTACACGACCATTTACGGTACCTTATTCAGTGAACAGTGCCCCTACCGTCAGCCAATGGCGCACTTCGGATAATCGGCCGATATGTTTTTCATGTGGCACCCCAGGCCACGTAGCTCGTTACTGCCGTCGTCGCAGCTTCGCTTCTCATGATATTACAGGGGCCTCACGTTACATGCCCACCATGCCCACTAAGCCGCTATATCCCGTTCCTGCCGATCCACCTCTAAACGTATGTCCCGGTCGCCGATCTTCCGGCTCAAGTCGTTCACCTTCTCCTCGTCGTCGATCTATTTCTCCAACGTTACGTCACAACAGCCCACCGCGAGGGGAAAACTGACGGGCGCAGTTCCGGTGGCAAGAACTGCGTTGGCAGCGCAAATTTCAAGACCTAACTGCTGTCCCCCGAACGAAATCGAACTCTATATTGATGGCATTAAGGTGCACGGACTTGTTGACACTGCAGCTGCCGTATCTGTAATTAGCGAAAAACTGTGCCGAAACTTGAAGAAAGTGACCACGCAACTTACCGACCTATCTTTGCAGACAGCTACGTCCCATCATATTCAGCCTTCAGCTTTGTGCACGGCACGAGTCGTCATTCAAGGTGCGATGTACGTCATCACATTTGTAGTTTCATCCCGTTCTTCGCATGACGTTATCCTTGGATGGGACTTTCTCTCGTCGAATTCTGCTTTGGTCGACTGTGCTCGTTCCGAACTCGCATTATCTGTGCCTTGGTATGACCTCGACGATGACGCTTCGTGCAGAGTGTTTGCTGATTCTGACGTTGACATTGCGCCTTTCTCAGCTGTTGTTGTCTCGGTGTCGTGTGCCTCCCCTCCGAAATCGCCTGTGTTGTTTATGCCGTCGGCCCCATCTGGGTGCCATCGAAATATTATGCTTCCGTTTGCCGTCGTCGTTTTTCGCAACGGTCACGCTGCCATTTATGCGTGCAATCCCTCGGACAGCCCGTCATCCCTACTACGTGGAGTATGCCTGGGAAGCTACGAACCTTACGAGTGCATTCTTCTGGCTACTATACCCGATTCTACCGTTTCGCTCCCTTTTTGTGTTGTCACTCCTACCAACACGCCTAATGATGTTCTCGACGTATTCTCGGATGCCATCGACTCTGAGCTCGCACCAACTCAGCGCGAAGAGATTATAAATCTTCTACTCCACTTTCGCTCTTCATTCGATCGTGACCAGTCAGGCTTAGGCCGAACCTCTGCGGTCGTTCACCGTATTGACACCGGTCAACAAGCCCCGCTAAGACAGCGTCCATACCTTGTGTCATCTGCTGAACGCCGTGTCATCAACGAACAAGTGGATGACATGCTGAAACGTGGAATCGTTGAGCCCTTCCACAGTCCTTGGGCTTCACCGATTGTTCTCGTCAAGAAAAAAGACGGATCCATCCAGTTCTGCCTTGACTACCTACGACTCAACAAGATAACGCGCAAAGACGTATACCCTCTGCCGCGCATCGATGATGCTCTGGACTGCCTACAAGGTGCAGAGTTCTTTTCTTCGTTAGATTTACGCTCCGGCTACTGGCAGGTGCCCATGGCAGAGGGTGACCGCACGAAGACAGCCTTTGTAACACCGGATGGACTATATGAATTCACCGTTATGCCCTTTGGCCTCTGCAATGCGCCTGCCAATTTCGAAAGGATGATGGATAGCATCTTGTGAGGTCTAAAATGGAAAGCGTGCCTCTGCTATTTGGACGACATTGTGGTATTTTCAAGTGACTTTGCGACCCACCTCTGCCACCTCGAGCAAGTTCTTACGTGCCTTTCCACGGCGGGACTTCAACTTAACTTGAAAAAATGCCACTTCGGTGCTCGCAAGCTTGTCATTCTCGTCCATGTAGTTTCTAAGGACGGCATTATCCTGGACCCTACGAACCTAATGCAGTCGCGGCGTTCCCAAAGCCAACCACCATCAAAGAACTTCGAAGCTTCATCAGCCTGTTATCTTACTTCCGGCGCTACGTCCGCAATTTCGCCTCCATTATCGCCCCCTTGACCAATCTTCTTGCCGGAAGTTCTGATCAGTCAGCGTGGTCGCAGGCGTGTGATGACGCATTTCAGGAACTCCGACGACTCCTCACCACGCCTCCCATACTCCGACATTTTGATCCGTCTGCTCCAACGGAGCTTCATACACACGCTAGTGTTGTCGGT